CATGCCCAGCTAATTTTTAAAAATTTTTTGTAGAGACGGAGTCTCGCTATGTTGCCCAGGCTGATCTAAAACTCCTGGCCTCAAGCAATCCTCCTGTTTGGCCCTCCCACAATACTGGGATCACAGGGATTAGCCTCCACACCTGACCTGAAGTAGCAATTTTAATTTCTGTCAAGAACTTTTCCTTTGCATTCAAAACTTGGCTGTTTGGCGCAAGAGGCCTAGATTTCAGCCAATCAGCTTTCCATTACACATTCCTAACTAAGCTTAATCATTTCTAGCTTTTGATTTTAAAGTAAGACACGCAACTCTTCCTTTCACTTAAACACTTAGAGGCCATTGAAAGGTTATTAATTGGTCTAATTTTAATATTGTTGTGTCTGAGGAGACAGGGAGGCTCAATGAAAGGGAGAGAGATGGGGCATGGCTAGTCATGGAGTAGTCACAGCACATATAATATTTATCATTCGCTACTTTATATGGGCATAGTTTGTGGTGCCTCAAAACAATTACAATAGTAACATCAAAGATCATTGCTCACAGATCACCATAAGATATAATAACTGTGAAAAAGTCTGAAATACTACTAGAATTACCAAAATATGACACAGAGAACGAAGTGAGCCCGTGCTGTTGGAAAAATGGCACCAACAGGCTTGCTCAACAGAGGATTGCCACAAACCTCTGATTTATAAAAAATGCAGTATCTGTGAAGCACAATAAAACAAAGCACGCATGCATTTTTAAATGGTCAAACTGGAAAATTTTATGCTTTATATATTTCATTGTAATTTTTATAAGTTGATTTACCACAATTTAAAAACTTTATGTTTTTATGACAATTTTTAAAAGTTGACTGAATTAACTAGCATATGTAATTAAGGAAACACAGCATCTGTCAATAAGGATTTGAGAACTTCTGATTAATTATATTAGTGCTAAATTCACTTGCCAAATATGGGGTTCCACTATGTAACTGAAAGACTGGAGTGCCCAGTTATCACTACGTTATTCTTTAGGAGACTCTACACATGAGCTTTATAAACAGTATTAACAGTATGATTATAAATTCTTTTTGTATTTGTACCATTAACATTCCCAATATTGGGGACATTTAAGAAAAGGTGAAGACAGTACGAGCTTTATACTTTATTTCAGTACAGTAAGAGGTAAGTGATAGCAACTTGCTGAAAAGACTAAACTGCTTCCACAGATCAAGGGGCTCCCAGTGGCTTGTATAATAGTATATTCTTAGTATTATGAATGTATTAATATGTCTGAACCCCCGAACCCGAAACTGCAGGAGAAATAAAGAGTGTTGTAGAGATGTTTAAATAAATAAACTCACACAAATTTAAACCTGATGTGGATTAAGCAGAAAGCAACTAGAGACTGCACTCATTTTCCATATTATAAACTCAGCAAAATTATAGATTTTGAATAATTACAGAGTTCCAAACTCTAGTTAAAACAGTCACAATTTCAGAAAAGTTCATTACTTCTGATGAGTACAGACTCTTATGTTTTCATTTCTGTACTTGCCACGAGAATATAAACCTCAAGGTAATCTCAAATCCCAAGGTTCTATCCTAACACTACGACTCAATTTCAAGAGTATCAGAACAGAAAACAAACTGAGCCCACCAAGAACACCTGGAATTTTAGAAACCAACATGCAAATCCAAAAACCACTCCACAGTGTGTTTACCTGGTTCTGTAAAAAAACATTCTCTCAAAAAATGCTGGGATCAAGGAACCAACAGTAAAGTAAATTTGAAGTCTAAATCGAGATGTACTTTAATGTTCAACAATATAAAGAATCTTTTAAATCTTTAAATCCTTTTCATTGTTCACTAGCAATCAATCTGTAAACGTTCTACTCATTTGCTCCTTTGCAAATATTCTTTGGGCATTTATTCTGTCAGGTACAGACAGTACTAAGTCCTGGAGATGGAAATACAGCAATGGACAAGCCAAAACAGTTCCTACCATCATGGGGCCTGAGTATAAGAAATATTAAATAACTACACAAATATTTAGTTAATTATAATTGTGGTAAGTACTGTAAAAGAAACTAAACTAAGATGCTGTCTTCAACTGACTGTATGATCTTGGACCTAATCTTCTTCATCTGTAAAACTAGAAGGCAGATCTGAATGATTTCTTAAGATCCTTTTAAATTAAAAAATCTTATAAATCTAAAAGTATAAAACTTTGCTTCCAGACTCCCTTTATCAGGACAGTTATATTTATAAAATCTATCAGCAAAGCAATATAGTCTTCATCTCTCAACCCATGAAGATTTTTCACACAAAACATAAGGTTAGATGGTAAGTAATTTCTTACTGTTACAAATTTTTATGTTCAAATTCCATATATTAAATGTATTGTGTTCTAGACTAACACATAAGGAACAAGCAGGAGAAAAGTATGTCCAGGAATTATCTGTATATATCAAAATTACTTTGGGATCTATTTAAAATACATATTCCCAAGCCCCAGCCAAGACCTATTACAGAATATCTGAAAGTGAGGCCTGGGAATCAAAACTCCTGATTAGCTCCTCAGGTAATTCTAATACACATTAATATTTCAAGAATTTGAACAGAGTAGAACAAATAATATTATGAAAAATGGCTTCAGAGTAAAACACTTTAGAATAGGAACTATAATAAACCTACCTGTGTAGCTTTGTCCCTCATGCAAGGTGCAGCTTGCCCATGACTATCACGAGGCCAGTGGCCGGCAAGATACGGAGCAGCAAGAGTATCCAGGGAGGAAGTACGTCGGATGATACTGGAGGGACTTGAGGAAGGCTGCCGTGATTTGTCACCTAGATTTAAGACAAAAAATTTATTAAAAAAGAAATTAGGAGCTAGGTGCTGTGGCTCATGCCTGTAATCCAAGCACTTTGGGAGTATAAGGCTGGAGGATTGCCTGAGACCAGGAGTTTGAGACCAACATGGCAAGACCCTGTCTGGAGGGGAGGGAATAGGAGGGAAGGAAAAGGAAAGGGAAGAAGGGAAGGGAAGGAAGAGGGAGAGGGGAGAGTGGAGAAGGAAGGAAAGAGGAGAGGGAAGGGGCAAGGGGAAAGGGAAGGGGAAAGGAGAAAGGGAAGGGGAAAGGAGAAAGGGAAGGGGAAAGGAGAAAGGAGAAAGGAAAGGGGAAAGGGAAGGGGAAGGGAGAAAGGGAAGGGGAAGGGGAAAGGGAAAGGAAAGGAAAAAGGAAAGGAAAAGAAAAAGGAAAGGGAAAAGAGAAAAGGAAAGGAAAGGAAGATTAGGAAGGAAACAAAGCAGAAACTAAGTTTTATACTACACAGAAGGTTCTCCAACTTAAATAGAGTAGGCCCCTTATCTGCAGGGTATACATTCCAAGACCCACAGTAGATGTCTAAAACCTCAGATATACTATGTGTTTTCCTATATGTACATACCTATGACAAAATTTAATTTATAAATTAGAAACAGCAAGAGATTAACAACAAATAATAATAAGCTAGTGCAATTATAACAATATGTCAGCATCACTGCTTTTGTGCTTTGGGGCCATTAAGTTAAAAAAGGGTTACCTGAACACAAGCAGGGCAATACCACAACAGTTGATCTGATAATCAAGACAGCTACTAAGTAACTAACAGGTGGGAAACATACATAGTATGGATATGATGGACAATGGGATGATTTATGGCCCCAGCCATGGGAGTGGGACAGTGAGAGATTTCATCACACTACTTAGAAGGCTGTACAAGTCATAATATACAAATTGTTTATTTCTGGAATTTTTTAATTTCAGCATATTATAGGGGTACAGATGTTTAGTTTACATATGTTGCCCTTGCCCCCCCCAAGTTCAAGCTTCAAGTGTTCCATCCCCCAGATGGTGTGCATTGCACTCTTTGTGTATGCATATACCCATCCCCTCCTCTCCCCTCCCCCCTGCCCGACATCCAATAGATGTTATTCTTATATGTGCACTTATGTGTTGATCAGTTAATACCAATTTGATGGTGAGTACACGCGGTGCTTGTTTTTCCATTCTTGGGATACTTCGCTTAGTAGAATGGGTTCCAGCTCTATCCAGGAGAATACAAGAGGTGCTGTATCACCATTGTTTCTTAAAGCTGAATAGTACTCCATGGCATACATATACCACATTTTATTAATCCACTCATGTATTGATGGACACTTGGGTTGTTTCCACATCTTTGCAATTGTGAATTGTGCTGCTATAAACATTCGGGTGCAGGTGTCTTTTTTATAGAGTGTCTTTTGTTCTTTTGGGTAGATGCCCAGTAATGGGATTGCTGGATCACATGGTAATTCTACTTGTATCTCTTTAAGGTATCTCCATATTGCTTTCCACAGAGGTGGCACTAGTTTGCAGTCCCACCAGCAGTGTATGAGTGTTCCTACCTCTCTGCATCCACGCCAACATTTATTGTTTTGGGACTTTTTGATAAAGGCCAGTCTCACTGGAGATAAGTGATATCTCACTGTGGTTTTGATTTGCATTCCCCTGATGATTAGAGATGTTGAGCATTTTTTCTTATGTTTTTGGCCATTATTCTGTCTTCTTTTGAAAAGTTTCTGTTCATGTCCTTTGCCCACTTTTTGATAGGGTTGTTTGATTTTTTCTTGTTGATTTTCCTGAGTTCTAAGTAGATTCTAGTTATCAGCCCTTTATATTTCTGGAATTTTTCCACTGAATCTTTTCAGGCTGAGGTTGACCATGAGTAACTAAAACCACAGAGAGTGAAACCACGGATAAGGAAGGAGGGGAACTACAGTATACAAAAATGAGCAATAAAAAGGAACAGGCTATTGATACACACAACTTGGATGACTCTCCAGAGAATTATACTGAGTGAAAACAATCAGTTCAACCCTAGGCCTACCAAATCAAAATCTCTAAGGGTGGGCCCAGGAATTCTCGATAGAATTGACGTATTCCTAGTATCCAACAAATTTTTAGCTGGATCTCCTTCTTCTTTATAAATTAAACCTTTGCTTTTTATCTTTTAAGGAACTATGAGGGCATAATGAAAATAAGACAGGAAGTTAAAAATCATGAGAAAATATAAAAAATTAGTGACAATCTTTCATGTTATTTGATATCAACAATTTAAAAGTAACACTGGCACTTAGTGGTTGTCCCGTTCCAGACACCAACAGAAACCTTCACAGAGGACAGCATATTAATAACACAACTGCCTCATGATAACTTAGTACCAGCCCACAAAATCAATCGAAAGACAAATTAACACCTGCTCGTTGATCCCTTGCCTTTGAGATTATCCTAGGAAATGCACAAACCAAATCAATTGAAAGAATCAACCATCAGCTTTGTAATGGGAGTAAGTTTAATTTCTAAGCAAACAAAAGCGGTATGTACCAATATATAAACATTGATTATAAGACATTCAATGTAAACTATTAAAATAATAGTAAAATAACACAATAAAGCAAATATAATATGTAATGTGAGGAAAGATGTATAATATATTTAAAAGTAGCTGCTACAATAACTATTTTTCACTATATAAGAAACTAAAACACTGTAAATATCAGATTTCTAGCTAATAATGCAATAACTAACATACTTCATTTATGAAAACTTAAATTCTGCAACAATGCAGGCCAGCTTTTCATAAGTCAAAATAAACTTTAAGGCTGTGTATGGTGGCTCATGCCTGTAATCCCAGCACCCTGGGAGGCCTAGGTGGGAGGACCACTTGAGGTCAGGAGTTCGAGATCAGCCTGAGCAACACAGCAAGACCCCATCTCTACAAAAGAATAGAAAAATTAGCCAGGCATGGTGGTGCATGCCTATAGCCCCAGCTACTCAGGAAGCTGAGGCAGGAGGATCACTTGAGCCCAGGAGTCTGAGGTTGCAGTAAGCGATGACGATGCCACTGCACTTTAGCCTGGGTGACACAGCAAGACCCTGTCTCAATAAATAAATAAATAAATAAACAAACAAACTTTAAGTACCAATAAACATTTCACATGTGACTTAACAAATAGAAAATAAATCTATGCATAATTTTCTGTTAGAAAAAATTCTAACTAGCCTTGTCCCTATAATTGCCAGTGAAAAGGAAAATATGTTCTCTTGATAAATGGTCCACATTAAAACTATAATCAATATGTACAATCCTTTAAGATTAAGCTCCTAAATCTCAAAGTGGCATTAAAAAATGATTTGGAAATTAATGATCAAGTTAAGATTTTAATTATTTATAAAGACCACTTAAAAGGAATTGCAGAAAACAAAAACAAAATGTCCAAAATGAAAAGATAATGGAATACATTTTGGCAGAGTCATACAATGTAATATTATAGGCCATTCAAAAGAATAAACACATATATGTACATGATCTGGTCTAAAGAGTTATTCATGATAAACTAAGTGAAATAAAAAAACAAGTACTCACACATTTACAAAAGGTACAATTCATCTTTTGTTTTAGAAAGTAATTAGATGTCTACAAAAGTGTGTTAGTACATTTACTTTAAGAATCTGGAAAAACATGCACATAACTTTTTGGTGGGACAGAATTATAGTTTTAATTTCTGACTTAGACATTTCTATAATGTTTAAATTTTTACAGGGAGTATATTGTCAGAGAAAATATATGAAAAAAATAGAAACTCAGAAAACCACCACACTAAGGATACCTAGACCACTATCCAAGCACCCACAAGCAAAGCCAAAGGTTCTTACCCAACATTTGCTACAGACACACCCTTACAAGTATGGGGGGGCACCCATCTAAATAAAAGAAAACCCCAAATTAAGAAGTGACAGCTGCTCCAGATGAGAAGGAATCAGTGCAAGAGCTCTGGAAGTAAGAAAAATCAGAGCAAAAGGACAAACCCAAAAGGGGAACACCAGCTCTCTAGCAATGGATACCAACCAAAATGAAAATACTGAAATGACAGGTAAAGAATTCCAAATATGGATTTTAAGGAAGCTTAATGAAATCCAAGAGAAAATGGAAAACCAACTCAAAAAAACCAGAAAAACAGTTCAAGAAAGGAATGAAAAATTCACTAAAGAGATTGACATACTTTTTAAAAAACCAAATAGAAACTCAGGAAATCAAAAATTCATTTACCGAAATACAAAACACAGTGGAAAGTTTTAAGAATAGACTAGACGAGGCAGAAGAAAGAATCTCAGAGCTTGAAGACAACTCTTTCAAATTAACTCAGTCAAAAATAAAGAACGAACAATTAATAGGAATGAACAAAGCCTGCAAGAAATATGAGATTATGTAAAATGGCACATTGAGAATCATAGGCATCCCTGAGGGTGAAGAAGAAAATGCACAAGGGCTGGAAAATCTATCTGAGGAAATAACTGAGGAAAACTTTCCTGGTCTTGGTAGAGATTTAGACATCTAGGTACAAAAACTCAGTGAACACTTCAGAGATTCTTGCAAAGAGGCAATTACCAAGACACATAGTCATCAGACTGGCCAAAGTCAACATGAAGGAGGAACTGCTGCAGGCCATGAGGAGAAAACACAAAGTAACTTACAAAGGAAAATTCATCAGGTTAACTGCAAACTTCTCTACGGAGACCTTACAAGCCAGAAGGGATTTGGGCCCCACTGTCAGTCTTCTTAACCAGAACTGCCAGCCTAAAATCTGTGTCCTGCAAAACTAAGTTTCATGTATGAAAGAGCAACAAAGACTTTCCCAGACAAGCAAACACTGAGGGAATTTATCAACATCAGACCTGCCCTGCAGGAAATACTCAGAACTGCATTATACATGGATCAGCACAATAGACACTAACCTATGTAAAAGCACCCGAAAGCTAAAGCTC